ATCACAAAGTAAATTCGAAGGCCTTCGTATGGTTTTAGACAAAATGATTTATTATTTATTTATTTATTAAATTATTAATTTTGTCAAACAAATATTTTATTGTGATCGAGCCAGAAATAATCAATGGTACCAAAATAAATATATTAATTAAGTAGTCGGATTGATGGCTTTATTTATCCGATAACTAATTATGCATAAAGGGGTCAAAGTGCAATATTGACTTAGAGGTTATTTATTATTTAATTGGAGTTCAATTAATTTCTTTTAGTGGAGTAGAAATTAATTTATGAATTAATTGAATTGGGTCCATGGACCGGGCCAATTATTAATTCATTGTAGCCAATAAAATAATAGGCCCAATGGATTCTCACTCATAGCCTAACTTGATATTGGAATCATATTAGATTTGAGACATATGAATTAGAGATTGAAAAGGATTTGTTGTTTCCTTTTCTTTATTTTTATGTTGCCTATAAATATACATGGTTTATGTATATTTTAGGAGTGATTTTTGGAAGAAGGAAAAATGAATAAATTTTCTCTCTCTAGAAAATTAAGGTTAGTGTTCTCATCTAATGGAGGCTCCCACAAGCCTAGTTTTCCAAGGTCATTCATGGAGGCTTATGAGTGATTCCTAAAGGCAAGACCATTACCAAGAAGATGGAGATCCATGGAAAAGGTGTCTAGCAAAAGAGATCTACAATAAGTGAGAACATTCACTTTAGAGGAGAGATCTAAGGTTTACTCAAACCTTGATGTAAGTATTCAATCTTTTAATTGAATGATACATCATGTTTTATTTTTGCATAAAACTTGTCTCTATGTGATGAATCAAGATCTATGAATTAAAATCTCTCGAAAAGTTTTTAAAACTAGCACGTTTCCCAACAGTGGTGTGGTGGTTATTTTATATATGTATATATATTTGGTGTGTGCTGTGTAAAGGAAAGAGAGCATGGCAGCCGAAGTATGGAAAAGAGGATTGTAATTGTGATGCTATTTGTGGGGGCTACTAAAAGATATTGGATGGGATTTGGTTTTGCTATATATATATATATATATATATATATATTATATTTGTTACAATCTGATGGAGTAGGAAAGTGAGCAGGCCGAAATTAGAGAAAAATGTGAGAGGAAGGAAAAGTTATAATGATGGCGCGGGTCCTACTTGGAATTGCTTGGTCACAATTGTTTTGGTTTTGGGCTTTTGATTTTGCACGTGGTCTTGTTTGGTGTCAAATTTCATTTTGACTTTGGCTATGTAGGTGGCTGATTTGATTACCATCTGTAAAGAACCGGGATCATGCTATTTCCGGGAAAAATATAACCACAACATCAACAATACTAACCCAAGTAATAAACGAATCATGCCATGTCGTGGCCAAAAATCTCCAAAAGATGAGAGAGTAATTGGAACTTGAAATTATGTAGAAAAGAAAAAAAAAATGTGAAGGAAAGAGATAGAGAACTTGCTTACGGGAGAGAGAAGAGAAAATGAGGCTGAAATGGCCTCTTTGGCCATTACAAGGTGAAGGGACGAGTCCCACTTCATAAAAAAAATCTCCCACTTTAATATATATATACATATATGTGTGTGTGTTTGTTCCAAATAATTCACAACCACAACCACATAAAATAACACAACCATATGAATATGCACAAAATAATTATGCATGAAATGCAATGGACCCAAAACATAGTCCCCGTACACACAACAGTCCTGACAGTGGGTCCCACCTAGGACCGTCCGGCCATAAAAATAGAAAAATGCCGAAATGGTAACCCTTAGATTTCTAGGAGTCTTAAACTCAAAGAAATGCCCTAATCAACTTTTGAACACACTCGGCATACCCCACGGTGTCTGGCACGTAAAACGAGAAAAGACAAAAATACCCTTGAAAAATCAAAAAATTCTAAAAAATAATAAATGGCAAAAATCAAAAATATTACATTGCATTTCCATGAGCCCCGAACTCAAGGAAATGCCCTAATCAACTCTCTGACACACCCAGCACACCACACGGTGTCCGGCGCATAAAATGAAAAAAGACTAAAATACCCTCGTAAAACAGAAAAATTCCAAAAAATGAAAAATGGCAAAAATCATAAAAATTACATTCTCCCCCCATTAAAAAAATTTCGTCCCCGAAATCAAGCCATACCTGAGGGAGGAAACAACTCTGGATACATGGAGCGAACCTCTTGTTCAAGCTCCCAAGTAGCTTCCTCAACTTTGTGATGCCTCCAAAGAACCTTTACCAATAGTATCGTCTTGTTCCTTAACTCCTTCTGCCTTGTGTCAAGTATCTGAACTGGTCCATCCTCGTAGAAAACATCCTCATCAATGTCCACATCAACCCAACTCAAAATGTGAGATTGATCCGGCTCGTACTTTCGTAGCATCGATACATGAAAGACATTGTGGACTCTGTTTATCTGTGGTGATAAAACAAGTCTGTAGGCAACTTCTCCTACCTGGTTTGAGATCTCAAAAGGTCCAATGAATCGTAATGATAACTTGCCACTCTTCCTGAATCTCAACAACCTCTTTCATGAAGAAACCCCTAGAAAGACGTGGTCTCCCACCTCAAAGGATAGCGGCTGTCTCCGCCTATCCGCATAACTCTTCTGTCGGCTCTGAGCTGTAAGCAATTTCTGTCTGATCAACTTAATCTTCTCAGTAGTCTCAAGTACTATGTGGGGTCCTAAGGTGGCTGTCTCACCCCCCTCAGTATAACCAATAGGAGACCTACAAGGTCTGCTGTACAATGTCTCAAATGGAGCCATCTGAATACTCGTCTGATAACTGTTGTTATGGGCAAACTCAATAAGCGGAAGGTGATCCTCCCAACTACCACCCAAGTCAAGTACACAGGCCCGAAGCATATCCTCTAAGATCTGAATGGTACACTCCGACTGGCCGTCCGTCTGTGGATGAAATGTTGTACTAAAGTGCAACGATGAACCAAACGTTGCTTGAAATCCTTTCCAGAACTTCGAAGTGAACTTGGCATCCCTATCTGAAACAATAGCCACTAGACCTCCGTGCAATCTTACAATCTCTTTCACATAAAGTATACCAAGTGGCTCCATGTCATCTGTTGCCTTGATAGGCAAGAAGTGAGCCGTCTTAGTCAAACTATCAATAATGACCCATACGGCTTCATTTCCCCTCCGTGACCTAGGAAGACCTGTCACAAAATCCATGGTAGTCTTCTTCCATTTCCACTGTGCTACCGGCAATGGCTACAATAAACCAGCTGGTCTTTGGTGCTCGGCCTTCACCTGCTGATAGGTGAGGCATTTAGCCACAAACTGTGTAACGTCCTTTTTCACCCCACTCCACCAATACTGACGTCTCAGATTATGATACATCTTGGTACCACCCGGGTGAACTGCAAAGTGGGAAGTGTGAAACTCCCGTAAAACGTCCTCACGACAAACTGTAGGAACAACCAATAAACCCCTGAACCGTCGACCTCCATATGCATGTAAAGTCCAATTCTTTACTGTCTTACCACCAGAAATTAGAGTGTGAATAACATCCAAATCCAGATCCTGTCTCTGTGACTCAATCACTTGTCCGACAAGAGTAGGCTGAGCTACAAGACTAAATAAGAATGCTGATTCACTGCCATCGTCATCATCAAAGCAATATAATCCCATCTCTGCCAAATCTTTAAGCATCTTCCACTTCCGAATGGCTAAACTAGCCAAAGTCTGACGAGATTTCCGGCTTAAAGCATCGACTACCACATTTGCCTTGCTAGGATGATACTGCAATTCAAAGTTGTAGTATTCTAAGAATTCAACTCATCACTTCTGTCTGTTGTTCAAGTCCTTTTAGGAAAAAAGGTACTTGAGACTCTTGTGGTCCAAGAACACCTCAAATCTCTCACCATACAAATAGTATCTCCAACACTTTAAGGTAAACATGACTACCACTAGCTCCAAGTCATGAGTAGTAGGGTAGTTATACTCATGAGTCTTCAACTGTCGATACCCATAAACCACTACTCTACCATCCTGCATCAGTACATAACCCAAACCATCACGTGAGGTGTCACAATAGATCACATAACCCAAGCCACGCTCGGGTATCACTAACATTGGAGTCGTAGTCAACCTTATTTTCAGCTCTTGAAAGGAAGACTCACAGGTCTCATTCTATGCAAACTTGATCCCTTTCCGGGTCAATCAGGTTATAGGAGCTGCCAAACGGGAAAAATCTTTCACAAATCTCCGATAACAACCCACTAGACCAAGGAAACTCCGGATCTCAAAAGCATTCTTGGGTTGCTCCCAATTCAGAACTGCCTCAATCTTTGATGGATCAACTGACATTCCACCTTCTGAGACGACATGTCTCAAAAATTTCACCTCATGTAGCCAAAACTCACACTTCTCATATTTGGCGTACAAACGGTGCTCCCGTAAAATCTGTAGCACTATACTCAAATGGACCTCATGCTCCTCCTGAGTCCGTGAATACACAAGAATGTCATCCACGAAAATTACCACAAACTGATCCAAGTAATCATGAAAGACGCGGTTCATTAAGTCCATGAATACCGCTGGCGCATTAGTCAAGCCAAAGGGCATAACAAGGAAACATAATATCCATACTGTGTACGGAAAGCGGTCTTTGGAATATCCCCCTCTCTAACCCGTAACTGATAGTAGCCTGACCTCAAGTCAATCTTCGAAAAACAACTGGCTCCCCTCAACTGATCAAACAAATCATCTATTCTTGGTAAATGATACTTGTTCTTGATGGTGGCATGATTGAACTTCCAGTAATCAATGCACAACCTCAAAGAACCATCATTCTTCTTAGCGAACAAGACCGGTACGCCCCACGGTGATACACTTGGTCGGATGAAGCCTTTCATTCTCAAATCATCAAGTTATTTCTTCAATTCTTCTAATTCAATCGGTACCATACGATATAGTGCCATAGAGATTGGCACGATACCAGGCATCAAATCAATAAAAAACTACACTTCTCGGTATGGAGGCAACTCAGTCAAGTCCTCCGGAAACACATCCAAAAAATCACGCACAACCACTAGATAATCAACCCCATAAAACTTAACATCATCATCGGCAAAAAGGCTAGCCAAGACGAACCCTTGTCGATCCCGACTCCGAACACCATAGAAAAAGGGAATGAGAGAATCACACCGATCCCCCACAAAACAGAAGCAATCCCCATTCGGGGTACACACTAACATTCTACCCCTGAAACAGTCGATAATAACCCTGAAGGACGACAACCAGTCCATCCCAAGAATGATGTCAAACCCTGTCGTCTCGAGAAGGATAAGATCAAACTCCAATACCCATCCAGCAATAGTAATGGAAGAATCTCGACAAACTCTACTAATAGTGACTGAACCCCCAATAGGCGTGTCAACACAAAGTTGTCTATCTAACTGATTGACCTCCAAGCCTAATGTCCGTGCAAATGATGAACCAATGAATGAATAAGAAGCACTGGAATCAAACAATACACGAGCCTAAGAATGGGACACAAAAAAATACCCCTGACAATTGAAGGACTGGATGATGGATCGACTAAAGTAAGTGCAAACACACGACCCTGAGTCTTCTGCCCCTAAGAACCACCTGTCTGATAACCCGACTGCTGAGTGGGTGCACTCGAAGAAGCCCCTCTGCCCGGTTGAGAACTCTGCACTGTCATAGCTGGCTGAGGTGGCGGTGGCGGTTGAAACCCTGACTGAACTGTGGCAGACTGCATCTGCCTGTGCTGTGGACCTTCACCCCTACCTGAACCACTGCCCCGCTGTGGACAATCTTTCATCCTATGGCCCTGCTGGCCACACCCGAAACATCCACCAGATGCCACCTGAATCTGAGTACACTGAGACTTGTGATGCCCTGACTGCCCACACTTGAAACAAATCACTTGAGCGACCTGAGCCTTAGTGCATTGGGACTTGTAATGTCCCGGCTGTCCGCATCTGAAACAAGTAACATTCGGCCTAGAAGACCCTATAGACACTGAAGTTGTGCGTACGGATCTAGCTGACTGTTGTCCCCTGAACCTTGACTGTTCATTCTACTACTTCTTATTTGATTGACCCTCAGAGACAACACTTATGCTCCTATTGTGCTTACAGGACTCCCTGATAATCTTGCTGTCTTTACTTTTGGCCTCAACCACTAAGGCATTTCGTACTGTTTTTGTATACTTTGTCAGTTCTGAGGTAGCTACAATTGGCCTGATGGTAAGATCAAGTGTGATACCCCTCGATTCTAGAGCCACGGGTGATCAAGTCCGAGCATAGATCCGAGGGATATCAGACAATTAATATGTAACCAAGCAAGAATAAAACTGAATTAAGAATAAAATAACAAAACGCTGAAAGAATTCTAATATAAAAAAAAATCCTCGAACCTTAAATAATAAATTAATATAATTTAAATCCGTACAACTCGGGAATCCACCTAGTGGACCCCTAATTCCAAAACTTTAAATAAATTTACAGAATTAAAATCCAAAACCAAAATAGAAAGGAAATCCTATGTAACCGGAAGAGTGAGTGTCTGTATCTGCATCAACACGATCAAACTCTAAGCCTGGTACTGGCAAATACCTGAAAAATAGGAGTGGGTCAGGCCCACATGCAAGTTCCAATCTACTACAATCCGTACATAAACCCGATACGCAGATACATCCTAGATAGCTCGGCAATATCTACAATAGTCCATATATATATAAATACACACTATAGGATGCTCACTAGCCTATAACATAGTTCAGCCTGGGTAGAAGGTGACCTATAAAACATGCTTTTCAGCGGCCAAGTACCTATACCTACCATGGAACATTAGTTATATCCAGCTACTCAACCTTTGCAATATACGCACCCTAACCATGATCAGGAGACTCAAGCTCGTATCACGGTACCATAAATATATATATAAATTCCTTCCTAGTGCAGAGATAAAACAAATATCCATTATGTCGTTCAACTGTTTTAGTTGACAAGACATGCATCCATGTAGGATTTAACTGTTTTAGTTAATCCATTCCATATGTATGAAGGGGTAGGACTTAGCTTTTTGATCTAATCCATCCCTGATATCTCACCGTCCCATACCGGTACATATAATGCAAATGATCCACCAGTGATGCACATTCATTAGAACATCAAGTATATCCATGAACCAGCATAATAGAAAACAGGTATTATTAAGATCCTATTATGCATCCAGTATATGATTATAATCATAAAACTCCTGTTAAATTGTTATAGTACTGTTAAACAATCTAAATTATCCACATCCATCTAATTGACAAAATATAAACTAAATCAGTTCATCAATTAACAACCATAGCTGGGTATAATGATTTAACCATAAATCCTTCCTTTAAATTGTTAAAGTAATGATAACCAACTTAAATTATCCAATTCCATACAATTGATCGAACATAAATTTTAACAGTTCATCAATTAACATCCATAGCACAATATAATGACAAATAGAGTTATAACTGTGCACATTATACTAGATTGCCAAAAATACCTCCATACTAGTCCAGTTTGTTTGCTAAAACAAAACTAGTAATCACAACCTACATCATCCTTGACAGCATGCCAAGTAATGCTTAAATTACATGATGTCCCTTTAATCCTCACTATAGATCATGTGTCTGATATAACGACACTCAAAAATCTACCCGGAGTACATCTTATGAAACCCCAAAAGTATTCCCATACAAGTCCATTTAGTTCGTTAAAATAAAGTTAGCAACTAAAACTCCTACAACTCCTGTCGGCATGCAACCTATCAATTAAAATTACATGATGACCCTAACCATAGCATAAACAACCCTCTTGGAACTGAAACATGTCATTTATAACATTGGTATAAATTCCTAACACTTACCTTTATAGCAGTTCATTTAATTTGCTAGCCAATCAACGATTCTAGTTCTCTTTCCTTCTTGATAGTATTGAACATTCTTATTTTAAAATTTATGTTGTCCATTCCCATGACCTGAATCAATACATCTTAGGTCTTAAACATGCTCTGTACACCATTTAAGAACCCCCATGAAACTCCAAAATTACCCTTTTGCCCCTGAAGTATCAAAAATTACCAGAAATACCCCCGGAGGGGTTTCTGTTCAAAGGAGCCGGCTCCCCCCCATGGGAGCCGGTTCTTCATCTTCTAGAGCTGGCTCTCCCTCATGGAGAGCCGGCTCTGCCTTCTTGGGAGCCGGCTCCCTCATTTAGGGAGCCGGCTCTCTTCCCCTGAGAGCCGTCTCTGCTCCATTGCTTCGTCTCTGCTTCGTCCGGTTGCCGTCTGTGCTTCCGGCGAAGTCCAGTGTTCTATTCCATACCTTTTTAAGATTATTAAGGTTCCATTAATGCACTTAAACCCCTAGAGACTCCTCCTATCCCAATGTGAACCAATTGACAAACAAAACTTAAACTACACACACAATTTATGCAAGAATAAGTTTAAACTTTAAAACGCAGAACAGATTTCAGAAAACATCAAGCATGAATAAAGTGTATTTTTAAAAGTTTAATTAAGTTCATGGAGTCTATATAAGATGCACAGAACACAAGTTTACAGGAGAGGAATAGACTGAAACTTGCCTTAAGATTCCGGTTTGAAACCTTCACCGCCGTCTCTAAGTTTCAGAATTTTCAAAACTGCATTCCACCTCTGACCACCATTCCAGTCCTCTGTTGTTTCTTAATTCCATCCAGAAACAACCTCTTTGTTCTTCTCCTATTCTTCCCCCTTTAGCCTCACAGCTTCTCCCTCAAGTCTCTCTCTGTTCCTCTCTTCTCTAGTTACGGGGAAAAGGGTTTTTCAAACCCTTGCAGACATACAACATATATATATATATATATATATATATATATATATATATATATATATATCTACTCTATCAACCCTAATCCTAATCCCAGCCTAACCATATGTCGGCTAATTAATCCCTATAGAAGAAAAACCCTAATCCTACGACCATACAAAAAGAATCCATACCAACTAAGTCATTTTAAAACACACGTCATTAATCCAAGTAAATCACAATTATTTTAAATAATTAAAGTAAATCACAATTACACAGCTAAAAATACAACCAACATACAATTACAGTTAAATAACTTATTTAAAGAAAAACCAATACAATAAAAAAAATAATAATTTAAATAACTACTTTCAAACAAATAATAAATAAAACAAAACACCTAAGTTACATAATTAAATCAATTAAACAAAATTCAATCCCCATTTTACCCTTTTAAAAACTTGGGGTATTACATCAAGGTCATCAATAAATTTTTCTATCTTTTCTTCCTCATCATTAACAATCCCAGGTACAAACCTCAAAAGTGATGTAAACTTGTTCTCGTACTCAATGACAGTCATATTTCCCTACTTTAACCCATCAAACTCTTTCTTTAGTTCTCTTCGCTTAGGTGCCAGAAAATACTTCTCATAGTAAAACTTCTTAAATGTATCATAGGTCATTGTGTCCGGATTGTGGGTGTGAGTGTAATATTTTCAATTTTTACCATTTTCCATTTAATGAAATTTTTGATTTTACGAGGGCAATTTCGTTTTTTCTCGTTTTACGTGCCGGACACCGTAGAGTGTGCCGGGAGTGTCCGAGAGTTGGTTGTGGCGTTTCATTGAGTTTAGGACTCTTGGAAATGCACCGGTTGCTATTTAGGCATTTTTCAGTTTTTCGAAACCGGGAGGTCCCAGGTGGGACCCACTACTGGAGTCGTTAAGCACGGGGGTTGTGTCACGGGTCCATTGCATTTCATACATTGTTAATTTTGTGCATAAATTAAATGTTAGTTTGTGTGGTTGCAATTTAATTTGGATTTACACATATATTATAAAAAATAAAGGTGAGATATTTGTTTTTAAAGATTTGTGGTGCCCATAAGCCATTCATTTTAATGGCCCTCAAGCCACTTTGTTGTTGAATCTCACCCTCTCTCACGTAATCTCTCTTTCCAGCTTCCTTCTGTTCTTTTCTTTTTTATTTTTTATTTTTATTTTTTCTTTTTAAGATTAGACATTTCCACCCATTATTTTTGGCCGATCGGTTGGGTTTTCGGCCTAGGTTTATTAACAGAAAACTTCCCACTCGTTGTTCTCTATCACATAGTTAAATGATTTAATTTTCTGAGAAGTGGTGATTATTTTACGAATTTTTGAAAATTTTTGATCTAAGGCTTTGGAGGGGGTTTTGGGCCACTTAGAGTCGGATTCTGGAGCTGAACCTTTGGAACAGTAAAATCTCCTCGTCGACGGCTACATTCCCACTAAACAGTTTTCTGTTTCGCAGCCGTTGACCGGCGTTGACTTTTGTTGACCGGCATTGACCGGCATTGACTTTTCTGGTCGGGGATGTATTTTGGCTACTTTTGAGGTAGGGGTGCTCTAATTCACAATTTCTTAGGTTCTATGTGAATTTTCCTTCTTAAATTGACTATAAGCATATTTAATTTCAATTATTTTGACTATGTGATTGTAGTTGATTACATGTATAGTGGTGGATGTATGCTATGTGATAAATGAGTTTGTAAATTTAGTTACATCCTTGTAGTGAAGAAGCATGCTTAGAAATGACAAGTTGTTTAGTTTATGTATTTCAATTGCCATGGAAATTTGATGTCATAATCGTAGAAATAAATGTTTAAAATATTCTTTTACAAGTTGTGATTATGATATGGGTAAAATGTATGGAATATAGTTGTTGAATTTGGCATTTGGAATCATGAAGCATTTATGCATCCATTGGGAAAGAAAAAGGGGAAATATATATATATTTTTAAAACCAATGAAATTATTTTGAGGAAATTTTTTTGAAAAGTGTTTGTGAAAACCCAGACTCCTAGGAGGCGCCTAGTGGTCCATGGTATTAGTGTGGTCTAGAGAGGGGACTAGGGAGAGACCCTAGTGTGGTTAAGCTAACCAGGCCGGATGCGACGCCGTAGAGGTGCCTTATGGTCGTGGATGGTTAGCCAATCCCCTTATCGTGACGCCTTGGAGGTGCCTTAGGTCGGATTACACTAACGGTTTGGAAGTTGAAATGGTATGGTTTCGAAAACGAGGAGTGACATTGCATGGCGTGGCACATCATTGGCATACGTGGTGCATTTTGTAATTGGTTGAGATATGTATGTTTGATGATGATACAGTGGTTTTACTTGACTCCCGAGATATGATCACGTTCTCTTACTTTCTATTCTCTATGTGGATTCATGGGTCATAAGAGGTGTGTTTTAGACACTTCCTATTGAGCGTTTAGCTCACCCCATCATTTTAACATTTTTCAGGTCACGGGAAGGAAGTGGCGGACGACGTTCCTCCATAGGTTTTGATGGTTTAGTGGATTGTTTGACATATTTTGTAACTATGATCTCATTTTTATTTATTTATTATTATTTATAAACCCTGGGATGACACGTATATTATGTATTGATATAGGAAAGGACAGTAACGTTTTTAGTTGACCTCAGGTTCTGGTAAGGACCCGGTTAGCGATTCGGACCCTCGGGTTTGGGTCGTTACAAGTTTGGTATCAGAGCGTTAGGTTCGAATACCTTTTGGACGACGGGTAGTGGCTTGCCTAGAGAGGTAGGAGGTTTACCTACATTGATTATGTGTTTGTGTTTATGTGTTTACTGTTTTATGAAGCATGCTTACTTGCTACTTGCTTATATGTTTACGGTTTTGAAGGCATTCCTATTTGCTAATTGCTTATGTGTTTAAATGTCAGTATATGAAAATGAAGTGTATACGTGATCTGAAAACATGTTAATTGTGAAAAGATGACAATGATGAACGGGATGTTTATTTTTCACATAATGATTTAATGAACCCGTTGTTTAAAATTGATAGGATAGGACATAGTCGTGTCAAGGTATATGTTTCGGTCATTATTTACATATGTATGCATGTATAAGAGTATGTGGTCGAGAACGAGATGGTTGCTTGTACAGTAGAGTACTTGTTGTGGTATAACTAGTTGTGTGAGTTTTGACATGAGTAGGCGAGAAGCTCGGTTGCTCCAGGGTTGTTTGGGTATCGGTACTTATCAAATGAATGACGTAGGTCTTTAGCTCGTGGATCGAGCTATTCGGTGCAGGGTTGCTTCAGTTTTCTCGTTATTTTTAAAGCGTAGTGCTTGGGGCACGACTTTTGAATGATTGCGTATGGCAAAGTGCAATGTCCAGGTTGAGACGTGTGGGTTTCATGTGTTAGTGCATGGGTTTTGCGACCAGAAAGGTCAGGTATACAGAATGAGGGTTTCTTGGGAAAAAGGTGTTACCTTAGGTGGTTAGTGTTTGTGACTTGGGTCACAGTTTGGTGTGGAGGTTCTTTTCGAACCGGTCGTGGTAGGTGTGACAGAAGTTGTTTGAGTCACGAATGTAGTCTATGGGTTGTAAATGTGTATTGCGGGTGTTTTGGTGCGGTCTAAGAAAGTGTGTTGGTTACAGTTAGTTGAGGGGTGATTTTTCCATTTTGAAAAGTTGTGGGAGTGTGCTGCGGGTAATCAATTCTCGGTGGGTCGATTGCATGGCTCGGTCGATGATCGGGGTTCTGTGTTGGCACGGTTGTCTAGAAAGTCTCGAGGTGGAGTATAATGGTTAGTTTTAGTGGTGTGGTGCAAGATTGCACGATGAGGCAAGTAGTATAGGGTCGTTGAAATACTCGGTTGTTTGCGGATGAAGTGATAAATGGTAGGTACTGTGCTACTAAATGGACTATGTATTGGAAGTTGAAAGTTGTGGGTTGGAGTTGTAATTCAAGTTGTGTCTGAGATATCAGGAGATAGTGCTTGGTGTTTGAGGATTCGAAAAGGTAGGCTGATGATTAGAATGATTGGGACGAGGGTGATTTCATAGGTCTAGTTGGTAGCCCCATTTAACTTTTGTCGGGGCCAAAGGTGTTATGAGGAATGATAAAAAAGGAAAGTGATGGTGTTGACGCTTCTTTGATTGAGTATGTAGATTGTTTTGGGAAGAATGGTCGGAGAAGCCGATTAAGTGTTGGTGACTGATTGTAGATGGTTTAAGGATACAGTTGGGTGTTGAGCATTCTGGTTTTTGTGCTTATTCTTTTTTTTTGGGATCTGTCGACATGGCATTGTCGTGTAAGGGTTTTATCCTGGTGGTATGTAGTGGTTGCTGTGGGGAGTATCGAGAGTGAGGCATAATCTATTATTGTGATGGTGTTATCCTTGGGATGCTTGAGGGGAGATCGTTTGGCAGTAGCCTGTTGAGTCGGTGAGACGTGAGTTTGAGTTGTCATTCGAGGATGATGGTAGTAGAGGCGTTATGGCGTGATGTTTAGTACTGTTGAGCATAATAGTTTCAGGTATTATTCGAGGATGGGTTAGAGATTTTGAGTTGTTTGTTGTGTGTTATCAAGTAGGTGATGGGGGTTGTGCGCTAGTTGAGGCTATTGTGGACTGTTTAGCCTTTTAGAGCCAGTGAGAACGATGTTGCCAAATAGGCACCTTTTTCTTTTGACGAGTTAATGGGTTGTTGTGACTGAGGTCACGAGTCTTGTGTGCACGGTGATTGAGGCAGTATTGTCTAGAAGGAAGAGATGGAATCGGTGGTAAAGTGTCGTTTTATAACATAGAGGTTGTCATTTGGGAGTGACGGGTTCCAGATGGAACAGGACGTGGTGTCCGAAGGGCTGTGATCGTTCCTAGTGTTGGTACGCTGTGAGCAATTGGTGCTCTTATCTGATTGGTTTTGGCTAGCATGGGTGTTACGGAGTAACATATGCGAGGTTTCGGTGTTGATAGTGTATGATGGTCCGTTAGTGGCGACGTCGCCTAGATGTGTGTTCGTAGTTCCATACTGGTATCCGGTTAGTTCACCTTCTTGTGCGTAGGGAGTTCGTTTCGTCTCAGGTGAGATTGGGTGTCCACAATTGGACGATTGGTGAGTAGCGTGTGATAGGGTGTCGGGTGGATTCAGGTGCGAGTCATCAGTCTCTTGTGAGAGCCGGGTTCATTGCCCTTTCCGTTTATTCTAGTCCTGATAAGGACGTCGTTAGTTGGGAGTCTTGTTCTCCATTTAGGAATTGTGCACGTTCGCAGGTGAGCGAACCCGTGTTTGGTTTGTTACATTGTTAGATTTCACCGGTAAGGGTTTGGTTGGATTGGTCGACTCACTCCCACTGAGGGAGGTGGAGTCTTTGGTTTCAGCAGTATTTGTTCTAAGAGTGGTTTTGACCGTTGGTTTGTGAGGCATGAGTTGCCAAATAGGGATTATGTGTTTCCGATATCTGGTACTAGCGGTGATGGCTAGGGGATGTGTTGTGAACTGTAAGTTCGAGGATGATTAGGTAATGTGATGTGAGTCATGTACTTGGGTGTTTTTATAGACGTTTGATTCGAGCAGTGTCTTAAGGACAAGTGTTGGTGTTGTTTTAATGCTAAGCAATTAGAGGTGTGAATGTGAGGTTCCGTTGAGGAATAATGGGAATGATTGATTTTGGTTTCGAGATCTCAGGCATGAGATAGTCGTATTGTGTGTTTTGACGAGGTAAGAATTCAATTGGATGATGTTATAGAGTTATCTACCTGGTATGGATGTTATGAGGAGATCAAATAGCTTGTATGCTGGTTGATGATTGTGATATTTGGCGTCGTATTGCCTTTAGCTTATTATGGTTGTGTAATTGAGGTATGATTAGGATTTTTAGAGTTGGTATGTGTCTGTATAGTTATTGAGGTTACGTAGAGCGATGGATTGATAATAAGTGGATCTCATGGTTATTTTGTGGATTGTGTAAGATTGTGTTCGAGGTTTGGACCTGAGGAAAGGAACGACGTTTGTGTTGAGACCGGATCGATGATGAGAATGGCTTGGCCAACTATTTTTCCTGTATCAGTCCCTCTTTAGCACGATGTTGGGTCAAGGGTCAATGATTGTTTTGATTTGTCAGGGACAGTGAAAGTATGGTATTGTGCGTTGTGCCAGTGTGACAGTGTGGATCTGGTCTAAGAAGGACCTTAGTTAGAATTATGGTGTTTTATGAATTTAGATGATTTGTCTTGGTGACGAGGTATGTTAGGTAGGACCAAGTGTCTGTTAAGAGTTTGTGGCACGATCATTGATTATTGAAGATCTTGTTTTGAGAGCTTGTTTCCTGGGTACAGGATAATATGTTTTATTATTCTGGTGACTCATGATTGTGTATTTGTTGGGAGAATTATTATTTAGTCATCTTGAAGTTGTTAAATATCATGATTGCCGAATGGTGCTGTTGATAGTCGCTTGTATTAGTATGTGATGGTGTAGTTATGTGATAGATGATGAGTGTTGGTTTGACAGAGATGTGTTGATTTAGTTTGAGCTTGATTGTGTGATAGATAAGGTTCCTTGTCTGGGATTTTGCGTGTCCTTTGGAGGATGAGTTGAGGTTTGATGTTGTCTTTTTCGGTGGTTTGATGACTGTTTTTTTCTCGGGCTTTGGAGCATTTCGTGACTGGGTAGAGTAAACTGATGTCCGTTTTGAGTCGCGTATAGTGTAGAGTGTACCAGTTGGTTTTGCGTTGCGATGTTTTGAGTGATGAGTGCCTTTGTAGGGTGATGAGCCTTGGAGTTTTGTGGTAGTTGTGTCTGATTGCCTGATGACGTCCTATGTCAAAGGCAATAAGGTTGGTGAGTTCATGATCTTGGGGTTTTGTGAGGTCCTCTCGGGAAGATTAGTGGCCGTGAGTCTCCTTATTAAGGAGGGTAGATTTCAAGGACAAAATCTCTTTAAGGAGGGTAGATTGTAATATTTTTAATTTTTACCATTTTCCATTTCTTGGAAATTTCTAATTTTACAAGGGCAATTTCATCTTTTCTCATTTTGCGTGTCGGACACCGTAGGGTATGATCTCATTTTTTATTTATTTATTATTAAATATAAACCCTGGGATGACACGTATATTTTGTATTGATATAGGAAAGGACGATAACATTTTTAGTTGACATCGGGTTCAGGTAAGGACCCGTTTAGTGATTCGGATCCTCGGGTTCGGGTCGTTACAGTGAGAAACGGTCTTCCACCAAATCTCAGCATCCCCAACAAAGTTATAAGTTGCCAAGGTGATTTTCAACTTGTCCGTCGCCAAATTCATGGCGTTGAGATGCTTTTCCACTCTATCCATGAAACTATCCGTAAAAAGCGGATTAGGACCGCCCTCAAACAGAGTTGGCATTAATTTCACAAACTTTGAGGTAAAGAGTATCATTTGACTCATTTGTCTTTGAAGGTGGTGGTGGTGGCGGCGGTGGTGGCACAACCTGTGACAATGATGCTCCTGCCGGGCGAAATGCATCGAAAAGAGCTGCTTGAATGGCCAACTTCAACTGCTCCTTGTTTATCTGTAAAGGTGGATCAACGGTCCCCTTCGCCTGTCCCCTTCTTGGTGGGACCAAATCACGCGACAATATATCGTTTTCAACTTGCTCCTGATCTCTTTCTACGGGACTGAAGCTAGAACTTTCCCTGGGATCCCTTCGTGGTGGCATGACGTTATAAGAAAAAGGAAACGGATCAAAAACGATGACACTAAAACACGTCCGAGAACTGAGTCCTCACATGAATGACTTGACAAGAATGGAAACACATAAACACCTTCCATACTCCCAGAATACCCAACTAATGATAAACATGATCATGTTAATAATATATAACAATATTAAGCACTTAGTACGTAATCATATAAGCAGTTAAATAATTAAGCATGCCTTTCAAATAATTAAACACCTTAACACATAAACATACGAGCATGCAATCACGTAAGCAATTAAGCAAGTAAACAAATAACTCAACTCCCTATGCAATCCTAGGTAGGTCTCTACCCGTTGTTCTTATGATATTCGAACCATTGCTCTGATATCAAATTTGTAACAACCCAAAAGATGCCAAAATAATAATAATAATAATAAATATATAAAAATTTCGGCATGACCTCTGCAGAAAAGTCCCTCTACAACCTGTTGAAATACATAAAAATACAATGGCCTCACTGGGCCTTAAAACTAATTTATCATGTCCCAACGCAGAATACAAATATTATGCTACATTCCTAAAATGATTACATGCATATAAAAAGTCTCGTTCTTCCATCTCATCCAAACAAGGAGCACACCTTAGTTACATCAAGTTATAGTCTATAAAATGTAGTTAAAATTTAAAAGTCCATAATTTACAACATTATACCAATTAAACTAAAGTTTCACAAAATAATTAAAATTACATTTACAAAATATTAGGGTTCTAATACAAAAGATAGCAAAATAAAATAGATCTACAAGCTCGTCTAAAATTGTGGTAGATTGTCGTCCCCCACCTCTTTTCTGTGTCTTGAAAAATGTTAAAAATAATGGGGTGAGCATAAACTCAGTAGGAAGTGTCTAAGACACACTTCTTATATCCCTGTAAATCTATACAATGAATAGATATAAAGTGAACGGGATCATGCCATAGGGAAACACACATTCTCAACCACAACAATAAGTATGTAGCAAATATCAACCAATCACAAGTTTACCACAATGTCATGAAGTGCAATATTATGTAAATGTCACTCCCCATTTTCCGAACATTTCCGTTTCAACTTCCAAACCGTTAGTGTAATCAAACCCACGCGTCACGAATGGAGGGTTGACTAAGTATCCACGACCACAAGGCACCTCCAAGGCGTCGCATCCGGCCTAATTAGCTCAACCATACTCCCTTCTAGACTACACTAACAACACGAACCACTAGGCACTTCCTAAGCGTCTGGTTTTCGCAAATACCTTTGAAAATATTTTCCCAAAAATAATTTCATTTATTTTAAAACATTTTCCCCCATTTTTCTTTCCCAATGGATGCAAGAATGCTTCATGCTTCATTTCATAAATTCAACCATAAATTTCCCATAACTATGAACTTTTGCTAATTAAGCATGCAATTGAACAATTTATAAGAAATAGATTCACAAAAGCATAAGAAGACCATGAATTAGGGACCCCTACCTCAAAAATTGAGAAAAGTCCCAAATTCAGCCCAAGAACCCTAGAATTTTGAAATCCCTAGAGTGCACCAAATGATGAATTGCTTGTACGCACTCGTAGATCTCGCTAACCTCTTCTATTTGCCGCAAACAGCACCCAAAAATTCCAAGTGGTTGAAAAGTAATCAAAGATAGAAGTTGTAAAAGAAAAAGAGTTTTTTTTTTTTTTTTTTTTTCATCGATAGAGACTGGTCGTGAATCTGCCGAATGGTAATGGCTTTTAGCCATTACCTTTGTTATAATGCATGTGGGTCCCACCATTTTATTTCTTTTCTTCTATAATTATTTATAATAACATAAACTTTTATATATATATATATATATATATATATATATATATATATATTATATATATAATAACTAATTCACCACCACACCAATTAACACACAACAAATAATTTATGCACAAAAATAATAATGTAAGAAATGTAATGGACTCGTAACACAACCCTCGTAATGGACTCGTAACACAACCCTCGTACACAACAATCCCAGTAACGGGTCCCACTTGGAACCTCTCGGCCTGAAAAATGAAAAATGCCGAAATGCCGACCATTGCATTTCCACAAGCCCTGAACTCAAGGAAATGCTCTAATCAACTCTCTGACACACCCGGCACACTACACCGTGTCCGGCACATAAAACGAGAAAAGACTAAAATACTCTCGTAAAACAGAAAAATTCCAAAAAATAGAAAATGGCAAAAATCATAAACATTACATTTGGTATCCATGATGTATGCGTGCATTTATCATATTAGTGATAGTAAATTTGTGTTACTGGAATTGAGTGTGATGGTTAAGGTTATGTAAAACCAGGAGGTATGAAAGCGAGTTAATACTATCAAATATCATGTTAGTGGGAATAGTGAGACTTGAGCCTATTAAAAGTTATGTTAGTGGGAGTAATTAGACAGTTATATGTAATCGCTACACATATGTTTTTGAGACCTATATAATCATCGACTTTAGCAAATTTTATAAGTGAATAAGCTGGAATAATAGATAAGTGGAATAAAATATTTCTAAGTGGTCCTCCATCCACTTCTCTTCCAAATTATTGAGTTTTGTGCGCGCGCGCGCGCGCGGGGCTGGGGGGCGAGTAATTTCCAACACCAAGTAGGCACAACAACCAACACTATTGGCCTTCATGTATGCCATGTTGGCACGGAATGGAATGAATAAAGATCTACCCTTAACCGTTGTAATTTGTACATTACAGTTGCTCTCAAACTCAAGCTCATTTTCTCACATTTTAACAGTTAAAATATCTTACATTGACACAAAGTAGTGATCCTTCTTTATTCTTTCGTCTCAAAACGAGAGTTCACCATCTATTCATAATTTTCACTCAATAATTTAATGGCAAAAATCTTGGAAGGAAAACTATGGGTGAGCATAGCAATAAGCTTGGTGTCACCAAAATACATGAAGCAAAAGACATCTCTTATTCTTTTTAACAATAATAAGTACTAACTCTTACAAGATGTGACGATCTCCACCAAACTTTTGAAATTGTCAGTTGAACTTCCATTTGTTCCAACAGCCTTCTTAGCATTCTCTTTGAGTACTCCAATGTTCTCTCTCATCTTCTTCCCTCTTGCATCTGAAAAAATAATATGTAAAGCATTCACCATTCCACTTTTAGTGAAGACCCCACCCTCAATTCTCACACCAATCTGCCATACATTCTCTACCATCCCACTGTTCAATTTTTGATCTCCAAAGAATGGTCGACAGATCATCGGCACACCGCTTGTGATACCCTCCAAAATGGAGTTCCAGCCGCAGTGTGTTACAAACGCTCCAACTGAGGTGTGTTCTAGGACTTGTAACTGGGGAGCCCATGAAACTACCTTCCCAGTTGTGCTTTTCCTTGTCCTTTCAAGAAATCCTTCTGGCAAAAGGTGCCTTGAATTGTCCCTAAGGGAAAAAAGGAATGGAACCCCACTCGCTTCCAGTGCTTCCGACAACGCTACTAGCTCATTTTGTGGTGGTGTGGTTATGGTGCCAAAGCTAATATATGCAACTGATGCGGTTTTATGTCCGTCCAACCACAATAGGCAGCTGCTCTCATCTGAAATAGTTGTTGGTGGTGACGATAAGAAGATTAAGGGGCTAACATTGAGAACCTTTGGCAACTTTGACTTGAGATCACCTGTAATGGTAGGGTCTAGCTCTTCAAAGGAGTTTAGCACAACAGCAGTTGCTTGTGGCAGTTTTAGACCCATGTTTTCAAGCATAAGTGCAATAGGTGATTCTAAGTTTCCAGAGACGATTCCCTCAGGTAAGTCACTGATTTGCATTCCAGACATTCCTGGAATGAAATTAAGGGTTTGGTATGCATTGTCTGCTATACCTGCAATTTCATAAATATAATTAAGGTAGAAGCATAAGGAAGATTCATGTTGTACAATCACAAAATTAGTTGGAGGCACTGATTGCCACTCCAGCATTAATCTGTAATTAACAGCTAAAACTCGGTGCAATTTGTTGAAGAATTTAAATATCAATGTTACACCGTCTCTACAAGCGTAACTTTTAGAGTCGATGGTATCAGAACAGTCGAGGTGCTGTGTGAAGTTTAAAATTGCAATAGAAATATTTTAGTTTCAAAACTAGTCCGATGGAGTTGTAGTCTTTTACTTTGTGGGTTATTTAATTTACTTTTATTTTGATAAATTTAATTTAAGCGAAATCTGATAAAAGAACAAGTTGAACCTATTCATCCTTTTAGGTTGTTTATCCATATTATAATTCACCGTCATGCAATTCACACAGTGTTCAAGCCTCACGGTCGTCCATAATTAAAAATAAGGGCCTAATAATAAATACATTAAAGAACTTAGAAATAAGAAATCCTAATTACCAGATGTTCCCAGCAGTGTGCTACGAATGAGATGAACATGTAGATGAGAAGAGAGGGAGCATGCCCCAGCGGTCCAAAATGGGAGCCAAGGAATGCGCTTCTCCTCTGCCATCTCCCCTGCAAACCACAGAAAAGCGTCAGTCAACAAGCAGCTGATCTTCACACCACTCTCCTCCTCTGCCTCTTTTATAGCATTGTTAAAGTTATCCGGTATCGCCATTAGGAAGAACTGAACTTGTTGGTGGGGATCAATCCCTGTGGCCAAGGCATGCCCTTTCGGCATGCCATCCCACACGTTGTAAGCTCTTATATTATGAAATTCATCACTGGGTTTGGAGCCAGAGAAAATGGAGGCATTGGATTTTGCTGTGCTGAAGAAGGAGAACCTCACGTTGGGTGCACAGGCAGCAGCTAGGCTTCGGACTAGGGTGAGGAGAGGGGCAGCATGGGTGCCGAATGGGAATGCAAGAATGGCAATATGCTGCTCTGCCCCGGAGGAGTAGTGTGAAGCCATGTTTGATGTTTAAAATCAATGGACTGGATACTTACTAGTATTTAAATACCATAGAGACGCACACATACCAAGTTGATACGCACCTACCACAAATCTGAGGAATAAAGTTCATTATTAAGTAGGAACTGACGTGTTTATGTTACGGTCACACAGAAAAAGTTTAGATCCACAAACCATTACAAATCTGAATTGTGATTGCGCAAACGATTGAATGAGGTTGTTGGAATAAGTTATTACAGTATTATTTATTTTCGCATTGCACTGGTCCCCCGCTACATAGAATAGTCTTTAGGAGAAATGATTTTTATGCAAAAATTAGTGTAAATTCACAAAACACCCTGTTCTGTTGGTTCTCCATCAAGGTTAATATGGTTATGTACCATACTGCCTCTAAATTTTTGAAGGACTAAAATACCCTTTTTCAAATCCTTGCAAGATGAAAATGCCCTTTACACTAGAACGTAAATGAATCAAACAAAGTAGAATATAAAAAATTGTGGGACCTAATAAAATTCATTTGTGTTAGAATTTGATATTCTTTATTATTTTGGTTCCTTAACTAAAATTCAATTACCCGTCTAAAGTTAGGTGAAAAACATACTATAAATACTAAATCATTCATGCAACGTATAACATTAAAAATATATAAAAAAAATTAATTTTCTTGTATTTTGGATTTTTCAGGTTGCTCAAATTAGTAAAATCTAGTCTTAATTCCCGCCCAAAGTAAATTTGTACTCTAATGACTGAACCCAATCCCGTCCCATAAATACAAGAGCATTGCTCACGCCCATAAAATTTTCGAATGGGAATCGGGTTGCTCGGTTTGGTCCACCGAAGTCCAACCTACTTGAGACTACTTAAACCTACCTACTCACCTTTGTGAACAAACAGGCACAAGTCAATCTTTTTCAGTCCCATCATGTTTTTGTTTTGTTTTTTTGTTTTTTGTTTGTGTTTTTCAGCGATTGATATATTAATATAAAAAGATATATACAGTGTGGGCCGTTAGGCCATAGTCCATTAGGACCAATAAATAAGCCCAAAAGGGCCAACAACAGAGAAACCCAACCCAAAACTAATAACCTCCATTACGGTTTGAAAGACCGTTAATGGACGACGGGCATGTTAATGTTGATGTTATCCTGGTAAACAAACAAGACAGAAGTCACGGGCTGAACATAGCCGCACTGCTCTTGGTCACGAGACTTGAAACTGTATATAGTTGTATCGTTGTCCAATTATAACAAAAGAAATACACCATAAACAAAGGCATGATTGAATTGTGTGCCCCCACACCTAGGTACTGTATACTTATGCGTGGTTCATCTTTCACAAACCATAACAACCATATCTTCTTCCATCAGGGAACTCATATATTAATTGGGACGGGTCACATTGGTCTGTGCCACAAATTAAAAGAATTAACCCTTAGCGTCTGGCTGTCTGTCTCTCTGTCTCTCAGTCTCTCATTGCATATCTGATCAGTAGACATGAAATCCCATTTGGTAGTCTTCATTCTTATCATAACCGTAAGTAGCTGCAACAACCATATGGCCTATTCCGATGAGACCTCTCCGACACAGGCACCCAAAACCAAAACCAATCAGCTGGAAATGCCCAACAACAACGAAACTATATATAAGATTTCCAAGCAGCTATGCTGGGGTTGTTCTATTAATGGAGAGTCGCTACAGTTTTTGTTTGCACACAACTTGGTTAGGGCAGCCAAGTGGGAACTACCACTAATATGGGACTTCGAGCTAGAAAGGTATGCCAGTTGGTGGGCTGCCGAAAGGAAAGCAGATTGCAAGCTAATGCATTCATTCCCAGAAGACGACTTCAAGCTAGGTGAGAATATATACTGGGGAAGTGGCTCCACCTGGACACCAACAGACGCTGTCAACGCATGGTCTGCTGAAGAGAAATATTACTCCTACGCCACAAACACTTGTGTTTTTGGCCAGCAGTGTGGCCACTATACACAGATTGTGTGGAGGAACACACGGCGACTTGGATGTGCTCGTGTTGTGTGTGACACTGGTGATGTGTTTATGACTTGTAACTATGATCCAGTTGGTAACTATGATGGTGAGCGCCCATATTGATTAATGTGGGGTTTTTATTTGATCGTCCTGCAGTTAGTAGCTAAAATGAATTATTAAAGGAAATCAGTTTGTTTGATCGATCTAAGGTTGTTTGTCTGATGAATGTACGTATGTTGGAATAATTATGGATGTCAATATTATTTCTAGTTAAAGTTTGTTATATAGTGTATATATGGGCTGTGATAACTTCAATATATATATACTTGTGATCAACTCCAATAGTTTTGCGTTCAAGTGGTAAAGTAGAGATAAAAGTACTACAACTAATCAATTACTCTCTCTCTCTCTCCCACCAAATCAAGATTTTAATCCCACCATCCCTCACAATACATGTCTATACCGTATTTTCTGGACTGAGTAATACCATAAATCACTCTTATTTTCATGATATTAAAGATTTTTTCTTTTTCTTTTTCCCAACAAATTCATAAATAGCCAAATCCATCATGACTACTACTGCTAAAGAGGCACCATCTTCTATCAATATATATATATATATATATATAAGTGTTATGAAACTGGACATTCAATACTGCAATCAACTCAAAATGTCTTAATTAAAATGTTATCTTCTTCCAAACAAGAATCCTTACTGTGAAAAGCTTTCCTTTCGCTATTTACAAATTACAATAATTATGGAGATGGAGGACATCTTGCTATCGAATGTGATGTTTACTTGATAGCGTTTCCAAGTACAAGTTCTATGAGCTGGTGGAAGTGGTGGCATGTGTATGAAATACTCCATTATTGATCTATAGCTTGACAAGGTGAAGGAGGCTATCCTTGTTCTCGCCAATTAGTGACAACACGGTGGCTGCAATATGCTTAGGACTGAGCCCAGCCGCCTCCATTTGGTCTGCTTGAGCTCCATGATCAATGTATCTGTCAGGAAGCATCATAGGCCTCCACTGCACCATAAAAAACAATCCAAAATAATGAGAAGTTGACATGGGTACGTTTCTTTTATTTTTAATTTGCAGTTGAACTGCTGATAAACAAGACATGTCATGATTTCAAAGTAGGGTGAAGGATTCTCAAGATGTCCGGACATAATTGTGGCCAATTGGGCGGCAATCCTTTAGCCACTTGCAATTGGAGAACTTCAATGTGTCGCAACCCTCCTCCTACATGGCTACACTTTGGTGCAAATTATTGCACAAGCTTTTAATTCCTTTAATTTCCTCCCTCCCCAATGATGAACACATACGTTTAACTCATTTACTAACTGAATTCTGTTTTTGCTGTGCGTATAGGAGAATATATATATATGTATGTATGTACCTTGAGGTTTCCATCGAGTAATCCGTTCAATGCCAAGAAATGTGAGACGTGAGAGGCAAATCCTCCAATAGACCCTTCTTCAACAGTGATGAGGACTTCATGTTGTTGAGCCAACTGTCTGATCAATTTTCCATCAAGAGGCTTGCAAAAGCGTGCATCCGCAACAGTTGTTGAAATGCCAAGCGCTTGAAGGTGCCGTGCTGCTGCTAAACAGTTTTGTACCATTGTTCCATAACCCAAAATGGCCACCGTACTTCCCTCCCTTAGCACCCTTCCTCTTCCAATCTAAATATAGTAAATTCCACAAAAAGTAAACCATATATGTATATATAGTTGTATACAGTATATAAGAACTAGGCTATATACATATATATGTGTTGATGTAGTATATACGTACCTCAAGTGGGGATCCTTTATTGTTTGGTGGAAGAATGGAACCTATGCCATTTCCTCTAGGATACCGAAAGCAACTAGGCCGATCGTCTATGGCTGCAGCAGTGGCAACCATGTGCATGAGCTCGGTCTCACAAGACGGTGCCATGACCACCATGTTAGGTAAACAAGCCATGAAAGTGGTGTCAAAGGCTCCACAATGAGTAGGACCATCTGCACCAACAAGACCAGCTCTGTCCAATGCAAATCTCACCGGAAGCTTTTGAAGATCTACATCGTGAACTACCTGAATGTCCCACCAATAAAAAATACCACAAACAAAACCATCAAAATTAAATCCAGAGAAAAATTACCCATGATTAATTTGAACAATTTGAAATTTAATGTCAAATGAAAAGGCAGAATGCCATATCATATATAGTATAGTTGAGAAAAATAACATTGAAATGCATTTGAATTAAAAGGGCAACTCCTCTCCGATTAAAAAGACACTGAATTTCAATAATTTTGCATATAATTTGCAATTGTTGTTTTATTCATTGCATTGTAGATGATAGTAAAGCAGTAGTATGTATACAATAATTAACTGATAAGATGGAATATAAATTAATTAGCGTAGTGATCAATGTGAGTAAGGGAGTGTGTTTGTGTGTATATATGTATGTATATTCACCTGATCGTAACCTCTCTGTAGAAAGGAAGAGTAAATAGTACAGAAAGGCTTGACACCTTCAGTAGCAAGACCAGCAGCAAAGGTGACAGCATGTTGTTCGGCTATGCCAACATCAAAACATCGATCCGGAAAGCGTTTTTGGAATAAATTAAGTCCAGTACCACCTCCCATGGCGGCATGGATAGCCACTATCTTGTCATCTCTCTCTGCTTCAGAGATTAAAGACTCAGCAAAGTACTGGGTGTATGAAAGTGTCTTGGATTTGGTTTTCAACTGTTTCCCCGACTTGGGATCAAATTTCACGACACCTACAAAAAGGCAGCCAAATTAATTACTTAATGCTGGAATTTTTTTTTTTTTTTTTTTAATGTAAATATAGCAATAGTGTGTTTGTTAATTTGTGACTTAATGTATATAAATATATACGCACCATGCATCTTGTCAGCAGCAATTTCAGCTGGAGCATAGCCTTTTCCTTTCTCTGTAATGACATGAATGAGAACAGGCCCTGGGGCTGGCATGGCCTTGACCTTCTTTAAGATATGGACCAGGTCCTCCATGTTATGGCCATCCACTGGACCGATATAATAGAGCCCCAGCTCTTCAAATAAGGAAGCCCCTGAACCAGCCACCATTCCTCTCACATACGAATCAACTTTAGAGGCGATTCCATGTGCCTGCCCTCCCACTTGCTTTGTGATGCTCTGTTAATTAATTAACAACAGGTTAATTAGTTGGTTTTATCCTTCTAGATAGAAATTTTGTGAAGAAGATATATGGGAGAAATTCATTTAAATGAGTTACTTTTGCTGCTTCACGAAGTTGGCGAAGCTTTGTGCTTGATTGTAGTCTTGTGAGTGCTCTGCTTAGAGCTCCAACAGGAGGAGCAGGGCCATCCACAGTGGCAGTGGGAAGGGAGACTTGAGCATTGTCGTTCAAGATGATAATAAGGTTGGAATCAAGATAGCCTGCATTGTTCATTGCCTCGTATGCTTGTCCTGCTGTCATGGCTCCATCCCCAATTACTGATATTACGTGATTCATCTTCCCTGTTAAGTCTCTAGCCACAGCCATCCCTGCACCGGCCAACACCCATAAATTAAATTAAATAATAATACAAAAATTGATGAATTATATAGATCATGTTTAAATATATATTGATTGGGCCAAAATCATTTTCCTTAGCTAAATAAACTAATTAACCCTGGGCTTGCCTTAAAAGAGAGAATTCATTAATCAGTCTGAACCCTGAAGAGGAGGTGCGCATATATATGTATATATATTGAATTAGTTTTATTCCTGCATTAATAAGTATACACCATATGTGTCATGTGTGTGTGTGTGTAAATTAATTAATAAATACCTAAGGCGGCAGAAATGCTAGTAGAACTATGGCCACATCCAAAAGCATCATGCACGCTCTCATCTCTTTTTGGGAAGCCAGCAAGCCCACAGGTTTGTCGGATTGTATGCATCCTCGACCTCCTTCCAGTCAATATCTTATGTGCGTATGTCTGCAAGCAACACCCACCCCCAATCAATCCAATTGCTGCCACTACTACTACTACCATATATATATACTTACATACTCTACTATCTCCATTGTAAGTGTGTACATATATAATAGTATATAATAGGTACCTGATGTCCAACATCCCAAATGATCTTATCATCAGGTGTGTTGAATACATGGTGAAGTGCAACAGTTAACTCGGCCACTCCTAGGCTTGAACTTAGGTGGCCGCCTGTCTTAGACACCGTATAAACAATCTCTTCTCTCAGTTCATCAGTCAACTTTTCAAGCTCCTGCAATAATTAAAAAAATATGTTTGTATTAGTACATTATCTATATATATATATATTATGGGAAGGTTACTTAATTAATTAATTAATTAAATATAACACGGTCACCAAAGATACATTAATTTCACAAATATATGTGTGTTTTTAACCTCAAGGGAAAGATTCTTGGTGTGAATTGGGTAGTTGATTGTATCCAAGATAGGAGTGAAAGGCTTCTCTCCGCAGAAATTGAGGGTTTTGGCCTGTCTTGGCTCCGTGTTGTATTGCTTTATGCTTGCATTATTGTCCTGAGCTCCTGCTGCTGTTACCATACTACAAGAGTACTGCCAATACATATGCATAACTAGCGGTGTTAGTTCAAAAACAATCCCTCTACTTAGCTCATGTTGTACGTTTAAGTACCGAGTGTTTGTGTGTGTGTGAGAGAGAGAGAGAGAGAAAGGGGCACACACCTTTTTCTTGTTGTTGGGAAGAGGAGAGGTGGTTGCAGTCAACAGACTTGAAGAAGAATACCCATCTTGAGATTTGAGCAGAGGAAGGAAACTATTTTTGAGAACACCAGTGCAGTAAGCCATTATCTCTCTTTTTTCTTTTTATTTTAAAAAAAGAGGTGTGTACAATATGACCCAAATTAACTAGTACTGTATTTCAAGAGCTGAAACTCTGTGTGTATCTCTCTCTCAGGCCAAGAATTGGTGCCAATTATAAATGATAAGAGACTTCTTCAAGCTAGATGGAGAGCTCTGAAGTAGTAGCAGCAACGCAATGGTGTGTGAGAAAGAAATCAGAGCTTGATTGGGAAGTGTGAAGATAGAGGGACCTTTTATAGAGAGAGAGATGATCTCATCATGTACATGTTATTCGTGTGCCGCACATGTTTTTCGTGTGCATAAAAAACAAGTTAAATTAATATTTAGTGTCAAAAGAGGGATTCCGAATCATCCCGCCGCCTTCATTATAAAACACATCTTTTCAAACATGCCAATTGATGACCTAATCTGTGTAAGGCAAGTTTAGGCACCAGTCAGAGTATCAGTAAAGAGTGTGGTTCGAAAGTCAGAGTTTGAAAATATACCTTCTAAATCCCTGTCAAAATCACTGACAAACCGTCACATTGTTAAAGAAAATGCAAACATAATTACAATTCAATAATATTGTTCTACTCAACTTCTCTTTTTGAGAAAGGGGTGTTACAATCGGAACTAATTTTTATTAATTACTTAATAATTAATTAATTATAAAAAATAATTTTAGTAATCTTTATCCATTTATCATTTAAATTCAAGAAAAGACTTGAGTTCACCTAATGTTTTCACATTTATTTACAGTCAAAATAATTTTGTATAAAAAAAAATTCATTCAATAACTATCTATTTTGATAAATAAAAAAATTAAAAAAAAAAACTATCTATTCGTTGATTGACACATTTATTTGCACATGAATCAAAGCATGGAAAATTTTCTTCCTAAAAAATTGATGTATTTGTCAACAGTAACACAAATTGTAGTTTATCATCAGGCTGGACCACCAAAAAGGTGTGGTTCACGTTTCCTTAATGTTTTGATTAAATTATGGATGCTCTGCATTTTCTTTGAAGTTTACTTGGGGTACTGCTCAAAATTTTCTGACATTGAAATTACAATAAAGCAAATTAAGACTAAAATAGAAAAACAAAGATAGATTAAGGTGTTAAAATATATAATGATAAGGGCTGAAATGTTTATTTTTCAATACTTATCAGTAGTATTTTAAACAATATTTCGTGTTTTTATATGTTTAAAATATCTAATCTTTATGTTTTTAATATTATCTATTGTTTAATATTTTTATAATATTAAGATGGTTAAAAACTTTGAAATCCTCTCTTTCTCCGTCACTCCAAGGGAGTAGATATGATGAGTAGTTTACGGTAAATTCAAATATTTAACTTATTAGTAGTGCTATATACTCGTCCTTATTAATTTAAGACTTTATCAAAATAACAAAATCAATATGTTATACATTATTTTTGAGGTGGCTGCAGTTAATGTAAATGATTAATTTACTATTTAGATATCAAAATATTGAACTTTTACCTGAAATTGGATCCAAAATAATAAATAAATAAAATAAAAGAACTGCATTGAAATATAAAAATTTCTTTTTCTTTTAAGATGAAATACTCTAACTTAAATTTAAAATATTAAAGGGATAATATCAGGTGAACAATATATGAAAATATACATAGGTTAATTAAAATTTTTATTACTTAATGTAACTAAACACCCAATTCGTACTTCACTACCCTTGAAATAATGTAAAGACAAATAGACTCATATGAAATAGACAAACAAATGAACAGTCAGTCACAAGTGGACAGACAACATCCAATACACATTATGGTGAGACTTTCAACAAAACCGCGGATTAGAAAACGAGAGCACGCGAGTCGCATGTTTAATTTTAACTTCTTTTTAGTTTAGTTTTTTTTTTTTTTTGGTGGATTTCATGTGATACATGTGCTATGTCTCCAAATAATTAAATCTTCTTTCGAAAAAGTACATGTGGGTCGTCATCAATAATGCACCACAAAACCAAGCCTTGTTGGCCACATGTCCTTAGGTTTTAGTATATATTTTTAGAGGTGTGATTGGGGAATGAAAATGAATTTCTGAATTAATACCGAATTTAATTTGATTGGTTATACTTGTTATTTGCTAAATAATTATTTTTTTAAAATTGTTTAAGTAAATAAGATGGACAAAAATACGTTATATTCGGTACTTATTCAGAATTAATTCTTCAATCTCTCTGACATTATTCATATTTTTAATATACACACACTCCCCGTAAATAATATATATAAACTTGATATTCACAGACTCCTTTTAAATAAATACACTTTTTTTTTTTATATATTTTATAAATACAATAAAATTATTTTTCCTTAATGTAAATTACAAAATTCTTCTTAATTTTTATTCTCTTATTTATACAATTATATATGAATGATGATGTCATTTTATTTTAAAAATGAACTGCATCTATCAAATGGTATGGAGCAAATATTGCCTCCCTTGTGTGTCTCCCTCTGCAAATATTGCCTACTAACCATACGTCTCTATGTGTGTGTGTGTGTATATATATATATATATATATATGAATGCCGGTGAAACCAAAAGTAATAGTACTAAATGCATCTATAAATGTATTGTATATAAAATATATATATATATATATGTACTTTTCAAGGAAGGAGTTGTTTTTATGTCAAATTAGTGTATGACACTCTTTGAGCATGTGTCTAAAGGTTAAAAGTAAATTTATTTATTTTGAACACTTAAGTTATGGTATTAGATACTTCATCAACACTTTCCGTAATCAATTTTTATACAATTTTTTGATACTCCTAAATGCGTGTTTTTAACACAATATATTTATTACATAAAAATAATGCTACAAATTAATAAGGATCCATTTTGTACGACTCTACTTATAAGTGTAGTCATTATTATTTAATATGAAAAGAATCTCCCATTTTTGAATTGTTCATCTCAATGATCCGCATTAGTTGGTTACAATCCACAATTATTTCGTTATCATTAAATACATTTGTAAGTGTACAAGTCACATCGTGAGACAGTTTCATGTTTTTTTTTTTTTTTTTTTTGTCATTCAAAAGTATAAAGGCTTAAAGCTAAGATACCAATACATCAATGCAAAGACATAAAGTCAAACCAAAAAAGATATACAAATCTTGAAGCAAAATAAATAAATGAAGAACAAGTTCCAGATTTGTAGGAGAAACAGAACCTAACACTATGCAAACGGAACCACCATAGAAGAACGCAGTAAACAGGAGAGACCGAAAGATCTGGCCATCATCACGGCAATCGCTCCAAAGTTACAACCACAAGGCGCTCTAACACCTAAAGAACCCCGCACAAGATCAAATTAAGAAGAAAAAGATTAAATCAAAGCGGGAAAAATCAAAATCGACCTAGACCAGAGATCTAATTGAAAAAAACAATAGATCCGATCATGTGATCCAAAAACGAACCGAATTTGAAAAGATTTAGTCCAAGAAAACAAAAACAAAAAAAAGATAGACATAAAAAACACTCACGAAACCCACTTATTAAAACAATCGTGGGAGGCGGCCTTCATCACCTCACTCCCGTAAAAGAGAGCAGAAAGGCAGAATGAAGAAGACAAGCTGCCTATTAGAGATAGAGAGTTAGAGAGAGGTGGGAGATAAAGTTGGGGCGGCTGAATATTTTGATTGTGTGCAGTTGAAGGACTACAGGATTCCTAAAAGCATGTTTCACATGTTAAGGAAACTGTGTTCAAGATCACGACTTAAAAACGTCCACTACTATTAGAATCTTGAAGTTAGAAGAATAAAACAAAAACAAAAATAAATAAATAAAAAAAGTTCCCGTTACTCGTTAGAGACAAATGGCTTAGATACATAACCAAACCAAAAGATAAAGAAAACTGGATAGCATGGAAATGTATGAATGTACACATTTATCTGCATCACAAATATCTAAAAATATATTTCTATGTATGGATATATTTTTAGGCTAAAACAATATCTGAAGGAATTTTTGCGTGCAAACTCAAAATAAATATTTTGGAACCACAATTATTATTATCCCTTCTTTACCGCAGGTTATATTACTAGAAGTCTAGAATAGTTATCAGTCACAATAAAATTCAACATGACATGATCGTAGTCACCAAATAGCAGATAGACTCAGTAAATTTACAATTCACATAGAAAGCGACATTGACATTCAACCTGTAAAAGTCAAAATACAGAAAATTCAGACTAAATGACAAAATCAGTTTTCAAGTTTATCATCATTATATCTATTTCCGAATTCGTTTCCTCTTCCAATTCAAAACATCCCAACTTATTATGCTGAGCAAATTCAATATTAATTCTGTCGTGATCCCAAGGTTTCCTCTTCACAAAATTCCAACAGCATCTTCATTCAACTGTTGTGTATGTATTTTTATGTAAATTTAATGTGTTATAAAAGATTTATATAAAAATTTTAGACTATTTATTTTTAACTCCAGTAGTTATTTTATACATTTTATATAAAAATATATTTCTCAATAACAACCAACCGGTGTCATATCTGGATCCTACACAATTTTTACAAACTTACTTAATATAAGATTGATTCGTTAATGGAATGAGAAAGAGGAAGCAGAAAGAAAATATAATGATGTGGCTGTGTAAAAAAGTTGTGTAAAATACACAATAATTTTACACATTGGTGACATGACAGTGTATCTTAACAGACGGTTGGAGATAAAAAAAAAAAAAAAAAAAAAATTACACATCATACGTAGCAGTATATATTTTACACAAAAGAGTATTTTAACATATTACTGGAGATGCTCAAAAGAAGCCATTGAGTGATTTTTAGTAATTTTTATTTTTCACTTTGATAATATATAAACCCTAAACACACTATATATACGAGTGATTTATGATATGTTCCTCTTGTTGATCGGAGTTGTTCGCAATCGAATATCTTTGACTACCAGTCACCAAAATAGTTTTGTCTTTCAATTTCAAAAATTTAGATTTGAAGAAGAAGAGTAAGAGATCATACTTTGAAGGGGTCAAAACATTCGTGGAGTGTTTCTATAAGGTTAAGGAAGTAATCCTAAAGTAAAGAGCAGTTGGATGGAGGAGTTGCAAAGCCGAAGATGTTCAATGATTGGTTCTTGGTAGAGTGAATGGGTGTGTGCCTGAGTCAAAGTCCATTGTACTTTGCTTGAATTGTAGTGGATCTTTTCGCTT